GTGTGTGTGTGTGTGTGTGTGTGTGTGTGTGTGTGTGTGTGTGTGTGTGTGTGTGTGTGTGTGTCACAGTCCTCTCTCTCTCTCTCTCTCTCTCGCTATCTCCCACCTCCCTCTTGGAACAACTTGGGCAAACTCCTAATGTCTGTTGTGTAGGAAACTGGGAATACACTTCTGGGGAATACACTTCTGAGATTGCACCAAGTCAAGGAGAAATATCAGCTCTTCAAAGCATATCTGCCTTTGGCCTAATGCTACAACCATTTCTGGAACCCTTCCCCAATTAGAACACAAATTGCTCTTCACATTTAGGAGGCATGGGCCATTTGGCTGGTATTTGCTGAAGTTATTTCCTCTGCTGGAATACTGTGTTCATTTCTGGTGTCCACAAATCAAGAAACATTGAAAACTAAATGTAATCCCTTTTCTATTACTTTAATAGTGCAAAGAGCAAATCATGCACTTAGGGACTAACAGCAAGAATTTTTGCTATAAGCTGGGGGCCTTATCAGTTGGAAGGGACAGAGGGAGAGGAAGACCTAGATTTGTTGGTTGATCACAGGATCACTGAGCCGCCAATGTGTAGCAACCATGGAAAAAACTAATACTATCCTGGGATGCAGCAGGAGATAACTCTCCAGCTCAGCCATTAGTACCTGACCTTGCATACATTATTCCGTGGCTTGGTGGTTCAGAATCTAAATCTTACTTGTACAGCAGCAGAACTCAACCTCTGGTTCTCCAGTGGCCCCTGATCTTCATAGCCCTGCGCTGGCCCTCTTCTTGAGCCTGAGTTAGATATATAGACCATCTATCAGGAATGGTCTAGACAGTATTTGGTCCTGCCATGAGGGCAGGGGACTGGACTCAATGACCTCTCGAGGTCCCTTCCAGCCGTAGAATCTGAGAGCTATTTCCAGTAGACAGGGAAGTGTTCTTGCCTTTGTACAAGGCATTGGTGAGACCTCATCTGGAATACTGTGTGCAATTCTGGTCTTTTATGTATAAGAAAGATTAACTCAAACTGGAACAAGTGCAGATAAGAGCTACTAGGATGATGAAGTGAATGGAGAACTTGCCTTATGGAGACTTAAGCTTGGCTTGTTTAGCCTAACCAAACAAAGGCTGAGGTGAGATAGGATTGCTCTCTATAAATACATCAGAGGGACAAACGCCAGCGAGGAAGAGTAGGTATTTAAATTAAAGCTAATACTGATACAAGAACAAATGGATATAGACTGGCCATCAATAAGTTTAGGCTTGAAATTAGATGTAGGTTTCTAACCATCAGAGAAGTGACGTTCTGGAACAGCCTCCCAAGGGGAGCAGTGGGGACAAAACACCTAACTTGCTTCAAGACTGAGCATGATAAGTTTATGGAGGGGATGATATGATGAGGTTGCTCATAATAGCATGTGGCCCATCTGTGACTGAGGTTAGCAAATATCTCCAATGGCCAGGACATTAGAGGGGAGATCTCTGAATTTCTACAGCAAATTCTTTCTCAGTTGTCTGGTGGGTCTCACCCATGTGCTCAGGGTCTAACCGATTGCCATATTTTGGGTCAGGAAGGAACTTTCTCCTGGGTCAGATTGGCAGACCCTGGGAAGTTTTTGCCTTCCTCTGCAGCATGGAGCTTGGGGTCACTTGCTGGTTTGAACTAGAGTAAATGGTAGATTCTCTGTAATTTGAAGTCATTTTAAATCAAGATTTGAGGACTTCATTAATTCAGCCAAAGGTTATGGGCCTTCTACAGAAGTGAGTGAGGGTCTATGGGCTGCAATGTGCAGGAGGTCAGACTAGATGA